GAACTCTTAGTTGATAGTCAAAGCTCTCAATCAACAAATCATGGTGAGTTGCGCCTCCACTTGTTTTAGTATCTAATTGTGTGCTCAAATCTGTCCTTTGTCATTGGACCCACAAGTCTCGAGGACATGGATCAAGGGCATAAATGGTATAAGAAATTTTTTAATTGTTTATTATTATTTGTTTTATATTGAATTTGTATTTATTTTTAATATAGATTAATTTACATAGTAGAAATTTAAGGACATAAATTTTAACATAAAGATGAATAATAATAAAGGTTTAATTTAGAAATCTCAAATCTCTATAAAATTGCCCCATTAAGGGCACTCTCATTTTGTACTAAATGAAAATGTAATGATAAATAATGTATTTTCAATAAGGTGACTCTACTTGCATATGGAGTTGAAAATATAAAGAGATAAAAGAAAAATATTTCACTCAAATGTAAAGAGAGAGAGAGAAAAAAAAAGGAATGAATTGGATGCAGTATACAATATGGCAAATGAAGCTCATTAAAATAATCAAAATTAGTTATAATGATGCTACTTTTACAACTAGAGAATGCATTATAATAGACTCAAAATTTACCACTGAAATTCTTTTAAATCCAAAATGTTGGTGCGACGCCAAGTGATCGAGTTTACAAAGATTTGAGTGAGCATTGTGATGTTAAGTGTTACGGCACTAACATGATCAAAATATATTTTTATATAATAATATCTAAATTCATTGTGACAAAAACCTCACCACCATTCCCCCTCCCTTTCTTTGCATGCATGATCGGGTAAAGAGAAGAGAGAAAAAGGGAGAGAGAAGAGAGGAATGAGAAAGCAAGGTTTTAGACTTTTAGTCGATATTTTCCATCACTCCAATTATAAAAATTGTTCTGATCATGATAGATAACCTTAACCCTGCTTTTTTTCGATAATTTTGAGTTGTCTTTTTTCTCTCTGCTATATATATATATAATCTCTCTCTTTCTACCAAACTTCCATTATATAAATTTTGATATATGGTATATATCGTCATCTTGAACATTTTGACTAATTCATATTGATATGTTCCTAGTTAATTTTGAATATATATCATTTTTTTTAAAGTGAGTTGAGTAATAATAAGTACAAAATGATTAGGAGTTAGTATATTAAATTTGGACATGATTTACATAAAGTTATTGTTCATTTGGTCTAACATATATATTAGCATAAAATGTACATACTGATGAGTATATTGGATATATTTACATGTTATGATAATTGCTAAATTGCATAAGATTTATATATCAGTATATGATGTCTGTTATTATGATACACATGATATGAAATGTGTGTAAAAACAAAAAAAAGAATGGCTAAAAATGACTAATTAATTCAAGTTGACTTGGGACATGTTACCCTATATGGAAGGGTAAGCCGACAGGCTTTCTTTGAAATAAGGTTCGTGATGTAATCCTAAGTAAAATGAAATAGAAAGTATAAGGAGATTGACAGATACGATATGATACGCCCATGAGCAAAAAGTGATGACTTATTATATGAAAGTCACATGACATATGACATGTGATTTGAGATTGATTTTTTTTTTATATATAGGACTACTATGATTGAGAATAATTCCTAATTGGTCGAAAGGTCCAATAGGATTGGACATTAAAAACATCACAAGTAATTGGATGTCTTGCCTTATTACTAATTATATCATTTGCATAAGAAATGAGAATATATGATAATCGTATAAATAATATGATATAATATGATATGTATACGATACATGATATGATAATACTAATATGATTAACGCGTAACACATATATGTTATACATGCATTGGTATAGATTAGTATGCATATAAAGCAGTGTGTATCACATAGAAGAAGGTGGAGGCAATTCAATCTATCATAGCAACCAAAACTAGGCCAATTAACCCCATCTCATCAATTTGGGTCTTTTGAGTTTTTAATTTGGGGGCTTCAACACCATCCAAATCATTGTTAAGAGAGGATTATTTCAACAAACCATTTCATCATCAGGAGCTTATTTGATCTCAAAAATATTTTTTGAAGTAAAAAAAAAATTTTTGTACCATTTCACCTCTTTTTTTGGTGGAGATTGTTGTAATCTCAATAATAATTGGCTGAAAGATTCTAATTGTTGGGCATTCATTATTTTCCATGCAAATAATTAAACTCCATAGTTGAAAAATAAGGTGCAATTTAAACTACTTCTAATAAGAAAAACAACCAATACTATTAATAAATATGGCTTTCGCAACACTTTTTTGACCTACTGCAGCGGTCAAAAATGACGAGCATTTTAGGCATTAAAAATAATACCTAATTTCTTCATAAAAGCATGAATTAGGAGTGAATACAATGGGTATAAAATAAAGTTTAAAAAATTCAAGCTCTATAGTAGGGGAACCAATACTTCCATTGTTCGACTAAAATTAGCTTAAGTTTGTGAGAGAAAAGACAAAAAATGATCTAATATAATGAATCCACATAGAAGTACAAACACAAGCATGCCCAATCCCAAAACAAATAAGGAGATAGCAATTAAAGAGATGCAATAAAGAAAGAGGAACAACTTAATATAAAAATAACATAGTTCATATGTTGCTCAAAGATATACCACTTTTTTATCTCTATGAAAATATCACAAATTTTTTCCATTGTTTAAATTCTTTGAGATATACCCCATAATCACTAGAAATAATACTTTCTTCTATTTATCTTCTTTCTTTCACCTATTTTTTCCCTCTTCCTTCTCTTATTTGTTATCAATTTTACAAAGGCTCTCACAATAAGTGTTGGCTAAGACTTGCATATAGAAAGATGATATAAATCTGAACTCTGTATGTTGATCACACCTATGCATATAACATGTTCAAAGAAAATAAAAAAGAAAAAAATATATTTATTTATAAGAAATTTAAGGATTATTTTAAATTTAATCAGGCTTAAAATTTTACCTAGAGTTATCCCTAAAATGAATTTCTAAAAAATTTTCAAAAAAAATCAAATTTATCTTAAAAAATAATGATCTTTACATATTTCCCGAGCTACTTAGATAGGTAGTCCGGCTAAGTGTGAAAGAAGTTTTCACCGTCCTGATCCTCTCCATGAAATTTTGTGGAAGTTCGGCGGCGGGATTGCCCGGATCACACCTGAGAAGTCTCACGATTGCGGAGCCCAGCAGGAGATTGAAGACAAAATCCGAGCCGTTGATCTTAATCAATGGTTCAGACTAAATCCTACGGTTTAGGAGCCTCTTTAATCACATCAGTCCAATCGACAATCTAAAGGTTGTCGCTAATCTTGCCATTATCCAGTCAACGCTAATGATTGGTCGCCCAATTGGATTGCGCCATGCGTAAAGTACGATACTAAATATGTAATTTTGGGATTTAAAAATCTAGAAATTTCATAGAAATTCAAAAATTTATCTCCCTCTACACTTGACCAAAATAGGAGTTCTTAGACTCATTAAAAAGATCTCAATGAGATATTTAAAAGCCCTATGGTCCCAAGCCCTGATTGTGTAGGTGTTAGTGTCAATTTCTATTTGAATGTTTATGGTTTTTATGCATTTGTGTGTGTAATTGAAGTCACTATGTCTTGAGAATTTGAGAGAGTGAATTTGGGCATGTCTCTGACATGTCCAAATTTTCTCTCCACTCTTTGATATGTTTAAGGGCATGCTTGACTTAATTTAAGCTTAGGGGTCATGGTTTAACCACAAAGTTGAAATTGGTCTTATGATCTATCCAATGGGAATTCAGATTTGAGTTTTGGTATGTTGATTGCGCTTAGTCTAAGAAGTTTAGAGCCATTGATTTCACTCCCATCCAAGCCTAGGGTAGCGACTTGGAAATTTTTGAAGGTGATATATATAATTAATGGTTACCTTAGGTGGCTTGGTTAGCCACCTTAAAAAATTATATTTGGGTCATAATTTAGGGGAATTGGGCCTTGAGATCAGGTTATCTCATGGTCCAAAACTCAATGGATTTTGTGCCCATTTAGTCCACCAACTAGGAACCCAAAATTTTCGCTTGGATTTGGCCTAGAACCTTAATTAATTCACTAATGATTCATTGTAAATCCTAAAAATTCAAGTAAATACTCTAATTGACCCCAATTGAACCATCGACCTATAAAAAATAAATGCCCTATCAGATGACCTTTAATTTAACCTTAATTAAATTTCTAAGGAAAATTAATAATTAATTTAATTAAAAATATTTAAAAATTCCAAAAAAAAGCCTTAAATGCTTGGAGATGTCCCCTTAGGTTATTTTAAATCTTTGGGGATGATTCTAATATGTTTGGGATTGATTTGGATAAAAATAAAAATATTCTTAATTAAGGTAATTTTAGAAAATTCTAAAAATACCCAAACTTTAGAAAATCACCAATAATTTCAGAAAAATCTAATTTAATCAAACTCAAAATTATTCAACTCTAATTAAAATCTAGTTTTTTTTCAAAAATATCAAACCCTCAAAATTAAGTTAAAGTCAAAAAGTCAACTCCCCGGTCAACTATAGTTAAAAACTATATTCAAATTTTTAAAAATCATGTTTCTTGAATTTTACAAATCCACTAAACAAACAATTTAATTGCTCATCTTAGGGTCTAATATTTGTTAAAAATCTGAAACTTATAAAATTAACTTTAGTTTAATAAGGCAACTTTGAACCCCCTTAATTAAAATATTTAAATAATTCCAAAACACTTAAAGTATAGTAATTCACTTAAAATTCCAGAAATCTTAATCTAATCATTAAAATTAGTCATCTAGCCACTTAATACATAACAAGCACTTCAAAAAATTAAGTTTTTAGGATGTACTATCTTGGGCTGCGAGGCTAAGTGTCATAAGGATGTCTCGTCCTCGAGCCTAATGTTACAACGCCACGAACAAATTCAATGGAGTGTAAAACTTAAAAATTAATTGGTTATTAATGATTTAACCAAATTAAAATTCTTAATTTAACTACATCCCAGATTTTTAGGATGGACTACTTGGGCTGCGGGATTAACTGTCTTAAGGATGCCTCGTCCTCGAGCCTGATATTACAACACCACGAACCGGTTGATGACAAATTAAATTAATCTTTAAAACAAACAATCAGCCAATTTAATTAAAATCTATCAACCCTTAATTTAAACCAATCAAATCATCTAACCATTAAAACTTACTTAAAATAAGCCTTAACACATTAATACTTAAACTCTAACCAAATTTCCTCATTCGACCTTTAACAAACTCGAACAATAGACAACTTAAACAAACTACCTAGCTTGAACAAACTTACTTAAATTATTTTATATTTCTATTTTTAGATTTTTTTTAAATAAATCATCCCACCCATAGTGACTTTCAGGACGTCATACCCACCTATACCCACCCACTTTTCTTGCTTTTTGAACGCAGTATGCCGCGGACTAATGGTCTTGAGGCTTGTTGCCCTTTGCTCTGAATTACAAACTTTCAAGCCGCATATCAAAATTTACAGCTGTCGCAGCGTGGTTAAGTGTTGCACGTTGCACACTACATAGTGAGGATTACAATAATATAAAATATACGGTGATTAGCAATGTAAATCGATTTATCCCCCAATGTTGAGTACACACCCATACTCATCCATAAGGGCATGAGAGTACCCATACCCATCCATACCCATTGATTTAGTAATAATAAGTTTTATTAAGCTATTTAGACCTTAGAATGCATAAATTTTTAGGCTCAGGATATGAGAATTTTAATTTTTTTAAATTTTTCTCTGTGAACACTACGGAGCTAGAATTGGCACACTGTCACTCTGTTTTTAGGAAAATGGCAAATATCGATCTTTTGGAGTGTTTTGGCTAAATAATGTGATTTGACTATATGAAGGAAAGGAGGAGATTTGAGTTTTGAAATCCTATACTTGTTCGTTAGTCCATTTAAAATAATTGTCAGGCTCGAGATAGGCAACCCATACCCATTGATGAAAGTTATAATCTTTTTTTTTTTTTTAGTTTTTTTTAAAATATTTATTGTATAACTTTCCATATATTTCTTTCTTCTCCGTTCTAAATGATTTGACTATATGAATGCAAATTTTCACCAGTTGATTTAATATCTATTGATTTTTTATGATTTTGCAAAATGGTGATATTTTTTTTGTGGTGAGATATGTTCTTGACAGCATTGTTCATAAACAATATTCAGTTTAGAGATATTTATTCATTGTTCTCTTCTAATTTCTTGAGGGACATTAAATATTTATTTAATTTATTTTCTTATTTTCTCCCCTAAAGGAACTCTGGTAAGGTCAACTGTTATCAGAGCACTATGTAATGGCTTCAAAGAATCTATCTGCTTTAGAAGTAATCACCTTACCTATTCTTTCCAAATGAATCTATCTATCCAAAATCTGTTATTTAAAAAGCTGTGATAATCATAGTGCTTCAATGCCACACAAGTTTTTAAAACAACGATCATCCGTTGACCTGATTAGAAGAGTATATGTATTAGATTTAATTTTTTTTTAAAAAAAGATAGAGATAAAATTAAAAAAAAAAATAGTTGAAAAAAATTAGAAATAATTTTTATTTATTAGATTTAAATAAATATTTAACTCTTAATATTGACACAACAAAAAAATAATAATAATAATTCATACAGCCAACCCCACATATTGGAATATAAACTTAATTTTGTTGTTTTTGTTATTATAGTTATTTTATAAAGTGTAATTAAGTCGTGTACCTTCTGTACTTTGTCTTTCATAAAGTGTAATATAGTTATTTCATAAAGTGTAATTAAGTGAAAATACAACCAAGGCGTGTCATCATTACCTGGAGGGCCCATATCCATTCTACAGATTTTGTTACAGCCATTCACAAGAGTTTATCTCATTCACAAGAGAGATTATTCTGACGCCGAACGCAACTCAGCATTTCGATACCAATCAGAATGAGCCACGTCGATAATACCGAGCCACGGTACCAAACGGTGGTACCACGGTACCGAGCCGCGGGGTTAGGTGTCCAAACGGGTTCCGCTTCCGCACAGAATAATTTTTCAGTTCACAGAGCTAGGAATTTAAAACCAAAATTTCTTGAAGCAGGTGGTAAGGGATTTTGGCCTGCAATGATTAACTTAACTACAAAAGAACTTGAACTGGGTATAATTGTTAATTTACAATGTGCCTAAATATAGCTCTCTAATAATTAAACCCAGAACTACAATAATACTGAGAGATCAATCTAGTAATTTTGAAAACTTCACATTTCCTTCATCCAGAATGTTCAAGTTTTTCCTTTTCCTTGACAACTTTTGAAATCCACTGTGTTCATCTATAAACTGGGCAGCTGTTCTTGCTCTCAATTCTTCCAAGCTCTCTCCTTCTTTGGCTCGCTCTAGGACCTGTGATGATGGTATATAATAAGATTGTTATTCACATAAGTGTGGGTGGGTTATTGAGCAGAGGAAAGTAGTAGAAATGTGAGTGAAATCTTGCCAGATGACGCCCATAAAGGTGTGTGCTTGAAAGAGCTTGCAAAGCATTCTGTGCCTCTTGCTTCGTGAAGTACTCCACAAATGCAAAACCCCGGTGGCTTCCAAGTTTCATAGGCAGTCTTAAGCTTTTAATCTAGCACAAAGATCAAATCAACAGATTATCAGCAAGGGGTAAAATAAAAAGAAAATAAAGAAAAAGTTTATTTTTATTGGCAAAGGAACAATATGTAGGACCATTCAAATTTAGATTATATGATTACGGGTGTCTTAAATGTAAAGAATACATCCATTGAGTTCTTGGCTTATAGACACATTCAGGTCTGACAAATTTAGCATTTAATATTTGAAGAAGCAAATCGAGATAAATTATTTGCTTTTTGCAAAGCAATCCATCAATCATCATAAGCAAGTATGTCCTACTAGTGAAAAAAATACCTCTAGAATCCAAAAGCAATAGAGCATACACTATTATCATCTAATTAGTCTTGAAAACAAGTTGTATAGAAGTATCTAATGGAGAATTGGATGTAGACTTATTTGAAAAAGATGGAAAGAGAAGAATTTGCGGAATGAAATCAAATCAGAAGTTTTGAAAATTAAATATTAAACACAATTTCTTGAAATTTCTAATGAGCATACATTAATTTTATTTGTAGGAAAATTTTAAATGACCATGCCTTCTTTGCATTCAATTTCTTAAAAGTTCTTAATATGTACAGCTATGGCTTAAGTGTTCCAATTTTCATTTGTATTCCGAAACTATGATTTTTCCTTGCAGATTAGACAATTCTCTATTTTTCCATGTAGCTAGTTGATATTATCTCCAGTCTTGCTCTTGTGTGGCTGATTACTCATGTTGCAGCTCTTTTTCTTCCTTTAAAAAGTGACATTGATGCTTTTCATATGTGCCTAGAGATTTCCCACAATATTAGAAAGTCAGATGATTGACCAGATTACTTCTACAGCTATCCCATAGTAGAATAGAATACTTTGTAGGATTCCTTCGATTGGTAATTTTCTACTATGGCAAGTTTGAGCCATATATGTCAATAACGTAAATTACCTTGTACTGAACCCTTAATATAGTGCAAAACACCTACGCTATTCACATTGCAAATCATAGTAAAATAAAATAGTCCGTCCTATCAGTACTACATGTATATGCTATAGCGCCTCACAGACATGATATGCACTACTTTATTCATCTAGTTTTTTAAATGATTCATTTAACTTATTTATCTTTTTCTTTTGTTTAAGTTTTTTAGGTATAGTATGATCTAATGATATCAAACCACTTGCATCCACTTACGCTTCTCAAAGGTTCCTGATTCTTGACCTTTTAACTATCCATTGAAATGAAAGAAGCAAGAACAACAATAATCTGCCGCAATACTAAAAACGTGAGTCATCAATCCAGATGCAGTGAGTCCAGTGACCATCATTTTTGTATAAAATGGTTTTAGTCACCCTTGCCTAGAGTTGTCATTGAGTCACCTTCTATCCAGACATGTAAGCCATTTACCGATCGAAAAGTTTTCATAATCATGAATCTTCTTAATCACTTAATCCAAAATACACAAGTCTCTAGCATCCAAAAACAAGAGTGCAAAAGATCCGAGAACTAGAAGAAATTGAAAGCCTTCAAACCAAGCAGAATAAACATGCCAATGATGATAAAGAGGTCATCTACAAGCATTGTGTTTCCTATCCATTGTCCACAACATTGCTTTATACCATTTTTGCAACAATGCTCGTGCACTTCCTCTTTTATCACATAATTATTTATGCTCTTTACTCCCTTATATTGTCATGCATTTCTTCCTCAATTGTAATTTAATATGTTGTTTAATTAATATTTAGTTTTGCTTGATCTAATTTAGTAGACTATTAGCAATATTGTGTTATTATATCGATGCTGCAAATTTATTTCATTATTGCTGCAAATTTATTTCATTATTGTTATTTTAATTTTTACAATGTAATAGTATTTCATTAATTTCCATGTATGTTCTAGCAATATTATGTTCTATTTATATGCTATTGATAGTGCATTGTTGCATTATGATATTTCTCCCATACATTGTGGAAATTTAAAGAAATTGTTCAAAATATTTTTAATATTTCATGTTATCTTTAAATAATGTGAGTTGCTATGACTCCACATAACCTTTGCATTATGGTGAGCTCTTTGATATTGAGAAGTATACAATAACAACAACAACAGCAACAACAAGCCTTTATCCCATTTAAGTGGGGTCGGCTACATGAATCATTTTTTCCATTGTGTCATGTTAAGGATCAAATTCTCATCTAAATCTAATAAATAAAGATCATTTATAACATTTTCTAACCAAGACTTTTTAGATCTATCTCTACCTTTTTTAACATAAGTCAAATCTACTACATCTACTTTCCTAACTAGGTCATCAGAAGGCCACTGTTTTATGTGACCAAACCATCTAAGGTGACCCTCTCTAATCTTATAGCTTCCACTGGAGCTACTCCAGCATTTTCACGTATATGCTCATTTCATATCTTATCTTTAAGAGTAAAGACACTCATCGACCTGAGCATCCTCATCTCAGCAACACTTAACTTAACATTGAGAAGTATAATTAAGACAATTATGTTTCCTTTTCTTTCAACTGTCCTACTATATCAATAGCTAAGGCTTCCTGTTTTTGCTCAAACTAAGATTGGACATCGTTGTTTGGATTAAATACATAATTATGGAATTGAGGACTTGCAACTTTAAGTTAGAATTTAGGGATTTTAAAAAAATTATCAATTATGGATCTCTTTTGAGCTATAAATATGACTTCAAAGGCATGAAATGAATCATTCAATTATGAAATAAATTTTTAATTTTCTCTGAACTTTGTTCATGTTAACTGCTTGTTAAGTCTTTTGAGTGTGGTGAAAAATTTTAAGACAAATTATGGGGGATGCTTTCTCCTTCACCATTTTTTTGGCTTGGATTAACACTGCAATGATTTCTCTCCCTGACCTTTTTTTTTTCCTTTTCTTTCGTGTGTTATTAATTGGTCAAGTCTATTACAAATCAGTTTGCCTTCTCATTTTGAATGTTAATCACTATGTGGTTTTCTTGCTTTCATATTTTCTTGCAAATTTTACATTGTGGTGACCTTTAAATAATTATTTGGAGCGGGTTGAACAAATTTTTTTATTTTTGCTTTAAATGAAATGAAGTTTTGTCGTAATTAAGAATTGGTGGACTGAGGATTTTCTTCATGGCATATTTCTTTGTGCATCTCATCTCAAATTCCCATTTGACCCCAAGACATCCTAGATCAAGATGCAGCATCAAATAGTATAGTTTGTTGCAATTTCTAGGCTAGCTTGTAAACTTGTAGTGGTGAACATAAATAGTTGATTTGTAAAAAACGTATTATAGCCACTACTCAAGGTTACAGGACAAAGCCATCACAACTTGATTTTCCCTCAAGATTGTGACTATGATCCCAAATGTAACCCTAAAGCTCATGTCAACCGAAGCTAATTAGGGAGGAAAACTTGCTTTTCTTTCAGAATTACACAACCCTCTAATTTCTAGGTTACGTGCCTCTGATTCTAAGGGTGCACCTTTTTGAACTCAAGAAGCCAAAAAATGAAGGAAACCAATCCAAGGAGCTGAAGGCCATAACCTGAAAGAAACACCTCCAGCTTAAGTTTACATTGATGAGAGTTTCCTTATCACACCTTCATAAGCATGTTTCCAAATTGAGATCAAATCCTCCCTAGTAAAGCCCTCCATACTTTCCTTTTGTCACAGACATACCTAGATACAATAAGAAGGGTTCCCTAACTCTTTTCTTATTCCTCCAGTGAACCTGCACATAGATTTAATAAAGCATCCACGCTTGGGGATCCCTCCTTCCATTCTTTCTCTAACTTAAGATTGAAATGGGGGTTGCAGTAAGGTGTCTATTCCTTTCCCAAGCCCCAGGCCCACAATTGTCCATCTTGTTGGCAATGTTAGAGCTAAAGAAGCGTCCAACTACCTCAAATATGCCATGGCATGTAAGCTACAACCCTAAAACATTCCCTCATCACTACCCCTAGAAAACAGAACTCTCTCTTAAGTCTCATAACACAACTCTCCTTCCCTCATTAGATCCTGGCACATTATAAGCCAACAAGATTAGATTCAAATTGGGTATCAACTCTACATAAAGTAAAACATTTATATAATAGAAATAATTCAAAGAAATTATAGACACTAAACTGAATTTATTTCAAAAACACTTTTTACAATGTCTTAATTACCTAGAATTATGTAGGACTTCAATGCACAATTTTAAAGGTTTTATGGCTTTTTTCGTCTTTCAATGATTGTATAAAGTTCCACTAAACGGGTTATTTCCTCACACTCGGAACTACTAAATTAGGTATAAGCTTGTTCTTCAGATGAAATGATGAAAACACATAATTAATAAGACTGGCATGATGCAAGATTTAACTAAAATATTCGATAACCCAATTAGGTTAGAATTGGCCTACGTTTAAAAAAGTAGAGGTAAACCTAAAAAGACTTGGTCAAAAGTATTAGAAATAACATTTTTTTTTTATTAGATTTAAAAGACAATTCGACTCTTAACTGGATACAATGGAGAAAAAAGATTCAAGCAACCAATCCCACCAATCCCACATAGTGGGATAAAGGGTTGATTTTGTATCCCCTTTCAAAAAACTTAAAACATAAATACTTCTTCCAGCTGATGAAAAGGATGTGAAAAAAAAATTACCTGGCCAAATGGACTTAACAGCTGCCTTAGATCCTTTTCAGTTGCTTCAAATGCCACATTTCTCACGATCAGTTTAGTCAAACTCTTATCTTTTCCTTCTTTCTTCAGAGCCTGAGGATCAGTCTTGACATGGCAAAGTTGCAAGATCAGTGCATGCCCATCCAGGATGGTTCCCTACAAACGAAATAGAATAATCACAATGGTTATATTTCAAAATGTTAAGGGTAAGTGTAATTTCCAATTTCATGGTCTTAATTTTGGCTAATTTGTTTGTGTTGAGTTTACTTCAACCATAAGAACATTGTTTAAATAGTCTGTTTGGGAAAATAAAACATAATTTTTTTTTAATGTTTTATTGCTTCAAAGAATTTTGAAAAGAAGTGAAAACGTATCCCAATAACACAAATTTAGACAAACAGCTTAAACTATTTTCTTGCATTTCTATTTTAAAATAAAAAAAGGAAACAAAAGTTTATAGAAAACCTAATAACTAAAATTCGCACATATGGATGGCAATTTTTGGAAGATGTTTCTGCATATACTCAGCACAAACGTATTACCAGTGCATCTCTGCAGACGTTTGTTGCTGTTTCCACAGTATCAAACTCAATGAAACCAAAACCCATGGACAAGTTCTTGCCATTTTTAACATGCTTCTTCACCTGAGGATGAAAAAAAGCAAAAGAAAGCGTGAGCTAAGAGACAATGTAGTGGAAACAGTGATATTTCCCCCAAACAAAGGATTCTCTTTTAGAAAACCTTGACACTCTTTATGCTGCCACATTTCACGATCTTTAGGAAATGATCCTTCAAGGACTCATCCGAAGTGTTGAAATTCAAGTTTTTCACAAATATTGACCTTGACTGCAAAAAAAATGACAAATATCATCAATTATTACCTAAGATTGATGAAGAATAATGAACAAAATGCTACGCTATTGTAAAATCATCATAAACACGCGCAGTATATAAAAATCAAAGATAAATGTAGAAGCAGCGAGCTAAAATATATAGAAAGATTGCTATGAAATGCATAAAAAACTGAGACAATAAAAATAAATATGCATGTACAGGAAATTTCTTATTATGTTATCCTTAAATCAGGCGTTATTGCATTAATAGTGCATCAGCTGTACCCAGAAAAAAAATTCCAGAACACTGTCGTTGCACCACCGATAACAATTGCTAATTTGCTACCGCCATCAGCATAAAGTTTCACTAATCCAAACTCTTGTAACAGGAAAAAGATTTCACAAATAGGCCATTTAAATTCATCAGAATGTCCATTTTTCCAAGTTTTGGCACTTACAGCACTTGTAAAACTACATGTGCACCTCGTTGTTTTTTAAATTTACTAAATAAAAAATTGCAGCCTTGCAGGGTTTCACTACTAAGATTTAATGAAATGAAGCATGTAGCTATATAATTAATTGAATTAGTTGTGCTTAAAAATAGAATTTATATTTAAAGAAAAATAATCCTCTATTTAGCTCAAGAACTGCTCAACATAGATGCATTTAATTTCAAAATTTGAACAATCTTATAATATAAATACTTAAATACATGGAGTTTTAGATGTTCAGATAATCTATTGATTATAGTTTGCTTTGTACCGTACAAATAAGATAGTGTTTTGGAGTAATTAGAACCACTTCTCATAATAAGAATGACAATTATCAGAGATACTTTCTACATTAGGAATTACTTCGGTCAATATATTATCTTCTGAGAATTTCAAAACTACCAAAAGAACAGCTTAAAGTTGGATAGGCTACTTATTAGTCGTTGATTAGGCATGAAAAGGAAATGATACAAATTGATAGTGCAAATGATTAGAAGTATTTGAGAGTCTTATAATTGCTAAATTAAAGTCCATGATTGAAGGATTTTGGCAGAACTTATTAGGATTAAAAAATATTCAACATGCAGTTTCGGTGTACAAGAATACTAGTAGAATTCAAGTCATTAAAAAGAGTACACGCTTTAGATATCTCGGGTCTATTGTTCAAAGTGATAGTGAAATAGATGGGGATATTATTAGTAGAATTCAAATTGGATGGATAAAGTGGAGGAATGCATCGAGCCTACTGTGGCAAAAAAACACCCCTCAAACTTAAGAGAAATTTTTATAAGATGGTGGTGAGACCTGTAAAACTTTATGGTGCATATAAACTTCGCCATTAAAAGATAAACATAAAATTAAGTTAAATGTTATAGAGATGAGGATGCTCAGGTGGATGAGTAGCTTCACTCATAGAGAAAGAATGCAAAATGAGTATGGACATAAAAAGGTTGGAGTAGATCCAGTAGCATATACGATTAGAGAGAGTCGCCTTAGAAGCATTGGTCACATAGAACGTCAACCTTCCGATTACCCAATTAGGAGAGTAGATGTATTAGATTTGGCTGATGTTAAGAAAGGTAAAGGTAGGACTAAAAAGGCTTTGTTAGAAAGTATTAGAAATGAACTTTTTTATTAGATTTAAATAAGAATTTGACTCTTAATAGGACACAAAGAGGAAAAAGGATTCATGCAGCTAACCTCATGTAGTGGGATAAATGCTTGATGTTGTTGTTATCATAATTAAGTCAAAGAAACAAAGTTTTAGGCAGGACCACTGCCACTATATTGACATCGCAACAAACATACAAAGAGAGTCTGGTTAGGCTGACAAATAACAAAGGTTGAAAAAATTAAAACAATCAACAAAGAGAAGTTAAAGAGCTCAAGGTTGCAAATCATTGCACCCCAAACTGAATAAGTATGCCACCTCCAAAAAACTTCATCAAATACATCTGATGTAGTGATTAATCAATAATACAAACATTGGGCAATCTTTTTAATAATAAAACTGAAAGACATTTATGGTTGATCCACATATAATGAAAAGTTTACAAATTGAGCAATCAAAAAGGAAACACTGTGACTAACAAATAAACCAATGAAATGCAGCTAATCTATCACTTTGGAATGAAAAAGAAAAGTACATAAAAATCTGCCACTAATGTTATATGGTGAAATCAGGATTAGAATTCCAATAGAAAGCACACAATTCTATCATAAAATTACCCATCAAGTTAATATTAATCTATGATAGACTGCAACTTCTCCTCAAAGAGACATGTAGTGTCTGACACATATCCGACACGACACGCGTCCAACACATCTCTGACACATGTTGGACACCCCAAACATGTATCCAATTAAAAAATATTAAATACTAATTGGGCAAGCGTGTCTTAATTTTTTTATGAATTTTTTTAAAATATAATTTCTCGTATTTAATCTTTTATTTATTTAAAATATAAAAACTAAATTTGTATTTCCTATCCACATCAAATCAATCGCCCGCACTCAATATCTCATTCATCGAATAATCTCATTTTCATTTCTCTTTGGTGGGTCACAACTTTAGTTTCACAACAATGCCGATGTCATCTCAACATCGAATTATGACATCGTTACAACATCGAAGCCTAATGCCATCATCGATATTTCAAAACTATTTCAACATCAAAGTTTGACGTTGTCTTGACATTAATACTCAACACTAGCAATTTCTACACCCACACCTTAACACTATCTTTGTCCAATACCCTCTCAACATCGATGACCAACGCCCTCTCAACATTGACGGCCGATAATTACTGCATAACATCGATGTTCGACCCTCGACAACATTGCCATCTTCTTTCTCGATGCCTAATACACAACATCAACACATGATTCTCAATATCTTAATATTAATCATTTTAAGCACAAATTTTAATTAAATTACTTATTATTTCTAAATTATTTTTAACATTATACTTACTCAACTGTTCTCATGAAAAATGAAATTCAATTCTACACTATTGTTTTCTAAATTCAACTTCATATTAAGTAGAGTCAAGCACTCCTTCCCAGACATCTAAACATCAACCTGGAAATGCACATCCCCAAAAAAATTTTAATGCCCCTAAATTCTTTGATGTCAATGCAAGTGTGTGTGTGTGTGTGTGTGTGTGTGTATATATATATATATATATATATATATATGTGTGTGTGTGTGTGTATTAAAAATTCAATTTGCGGTCCATCTAATTAAGTTTAATGCCCCCGGTTAAGAAAAAATTATGTCTCTCCAACTGAGTTCCAATGCTTTGATCTTTCATGTTGCAAAATTCCCAAGAAAATCTTATTATAATTTAGCATTCATGAGTAATAGAGGAGGGATTCTATTCGTCTAAGTTATTCCCCTAATCCTTAATTATAACTCAATGCATTCGGGATTTGTAAAGTGATAATTCAGATGCATATTACAATTTAATAAAAACAAGAGTTGCTACCATATTATTAGGACACTGGTCAAAAAACAAAGTAATAATTGTACTTTCCCTTTAAGGAGAGGTCAAAAGTTTAAATCCAAACAAACAAAGATGCTAATGAAGTTATCACACATCAGAAGCCATTACTGCATGAAAGTATAAGTAACTATGATAAAGAAAAAGATTATAAGGTTTATATATAGAATGATATAAGAGATATCTTACCTCAACTCTATCAGGATCAATTTCTTCTTCTAACACACCTACAGCTTGCTTCAGCATAACATTTCTCGAGTTCTGCTCACTAACTGCATCTTTTGGCTCATTTTCCTCTATCCCCGGTCTAGGACAAAGTACATCATCTGGAGCCCACTCCAAATATAATGGAACATCTCTGCAGTTTTCAAAAATCAAAATACATTTAAACCTCAAGCTAAAATAATAATCTGTCACACAATGTATCTAAATTCCAAAAAAAATTAGATAAAAACTTCTCCTATCATCAAATATTTATTGATAAAAAAATTCGAAGTCAATGGAACATCATTTAGAAGTTCAATTTTCATAATATAATGTAAACTAGAATAAGTTAGGTGCGCTCACCGTTCAAGCTCCCACATCCCAGCCATTAAAGAATATTAAAATAGGCGTTTGCTAAAAAACACCATGAAAACATATGAAAAATTATTTTAGCACATAACACTTTATTAGCATCAAAAGTGAGGCTCCCTAGTTGCCCACAAGTTGGTTAAGGTGTGATTAAGAATGTCAAAGAACAAAATTTAGCTGCTATCACTTTAACATGATTCATTTCCTGCATTTTATAACTCTCAATAGTCTCTCTTGCCATTTGCCAAATAAAATCAGTGAGCTCCATCCATTCCACCTCTTATGAGAGATGACAGACCTTTTCCACTGAACAAAGTAAGAACATAGAAATAAAGTCGTGGTAGGGCCAAGGGCAGGAACAAAAAAAAATCATCTCATGAAACTAACTAGAAAGCAACGAGGAAATAAATATTGTTTTAATACAAGTCAAAGAAAGGGTGAAACTTTCAGCAAAAGCATTCAGAGATATTGCAAATAAAGAAAAAATCATGGAGTGAAGAGCATGTGTCCCTATAATATAATAACATAGAAGAATAAAATTAAATTAATTAAACTCATAAGCCGGCACAAAAAATTATATTCAGATGTTCAAAGACTGTTTCAGCACAATTGAAAACCTTTTTGTGTGCGTGATACCATAACATCAGAACATGAATCCAGAGAAAAAAAACCAAAAAAAATGACGTACTGAATTATTAAAATAAAGCATGTGTTGGTTAAAAAAACTGCATGATATTTGATTCAATATGTTGGTTAAAAAAAGCATGTGTTTAAAAAGCACCGAATATATAAAGAGTAATGCGATTTACATCATCTTTCTCTAAAAGAATTGTCTTTAGTCTTTATTTCAGAAAATAAAACAAGGGTACTACCAAGTAAGCTTACTTGTAAGCATGTGTTTAAAAAGTCACCGAATATATAAAGAGTAATGCGATTTACATCATCTTACTCTAAATTCTCTAAAAGAATTGTCTTTAGTCTTTATTTCAGAAAATAAAACAAGGTACTACCAAGTAAGCTTACTTGTATCTCTTATATGCCAAACCTTTAAATGCTGCTCGAGCTTCAGCTGCTTCAAGAAAAATAACCTGAATTACACAAGAAGATCATAAATACAACAGAACTTCTCTAAAGCCAATAAGAACTCAAGGTATTAAGCATCTACACAAAACTACCACATCATAATAGTAAATCTGTTCATAAAACACAAGTTGACGTACATAACCTGATTATCTGTCGATTTATAGAATACAGTAGAGTTTGCTACTGAAGAAACATGAATTCAACAGTTAAAAAGAATGTGAAAGTGGGAGTATGCTTGAAGGTATGATTGCAAAAGACCTTAAGTGTATGTAACTTCTGTTTCAAATGCAGAAGAAAGCAGTAACAGAACATACTGCCAGGGAAAGATGAAACAATAGAGTTTGACATGCCTAAAGGAATTATGAAATGCAAATTGGATGAAAAATAGTCACAATTTAAAGCTGGGGAAAAAAAAAAAGAGGGACAAAATGTTTGAAGGACATCAAATAGTAACACTTTTAATGCTTGATCACATGTGATGGGGCATGGGACCAAAAGCATCAAAACCGAGAAGTTGTATTTCCTCTAGGGATTTGAACATTCAAATACTTACTTCGGTGACAAATGATAAGAATCTCCCATACAATTATTGCATCAAAGGCTGTAAATCAGAGAGATGCTGATCTCCATTTAATGTAGAAAATGTTTAAGCAGTTCGATGACAGCTCAAAGAATAAAATATGGATTCTCAAGGAGATCAAAGAGAAAACTAAGCACCACTTGCATCTATACAGAAGGTTGACTTTATCAGAATGCTCATTTTTAGATCAATGATATGCAAGGGAGGGAGCCATCTTGTGGGGCTCAGGGGATTTAATATTCATTACGTAAGGAGGAGGATTCAAGAGAAAATTATTTAGGTTAGTTTTAATAACAATTTAGAAGGAATTAATTAGGAAAAGAGATCTAATTTGAATTCAAATCTAAGAGGGAATTCTTTGGGGAAAGGGGACTGATTTTGGTAGAAATTATGAGAGCCTATTAAGGAAACAATGTTGTATTTTGGGTATTATGTGATTTGTTTGTTTGCTAGAGTTCTTTTCTTTGAGGGCTTCCGAGCAGCGTCTAGCTTGTTTGAGAGAGCCAAGCTACCTCTCTAATCGTAGATCACTTGTATCTTATTTTCGTATTCATATTGAAGTGATAATACAAAATCAGCCATTATTTATAACATTGCTGCAATATTCTACAGTTTATTTCATTTTTTTAGTTCCAAGGCATATCGAATTGGTATCAAAGCAAGGTAAATGACAGCAAAGAAGATGGAAGCATTGGAAGACAAGATAGAACAACTCAAGACCGAATATTCCAGAGTGGAAGGAATGCTCTCATCCATAGAGAACCGCTTTGTAAACTTGGAGGACATGATGAAGAAAATGATTGAGATGTAGCCGAAAGCCTCACCGGAGATTCCTAGGGATAAACAAAATGAGAAAGAAATTCAGGAGTACATAAGACATACAACCGACAATCAACCGAGTTATATTGGGCGGGAATGCATCGGGATGTGGAAGATATGGTAGCAACGTGTGATGTATGCCAGAGGCATAAGTACCTAACTATGGCACTGGGGGTACTGCAACCATTAGCTTTACTTGAAAAGGAATGGGGGGAAGTGATGATGGAATTCATTGAGGGTTTGACACATTCAGAGGGATATTCAGTAATACTAGTGGTGGTAGATTGACTGGGCAATTATGTTGATTTCATTCCGCTGAGAAATCCCTACATCGCTACCTATGTTAACACGGTCTTTATTCGAGAGTTAGTGCGCTTACATGGCATTCAAAAATCTATAGTATCAAATAGAGACAAGGTATTCCTCGACCATTTTTTGAAGGAGTTGTTCAAGATGCAAGGGATGGTTCTAAAAATGTGCACGGAATATCACCCACAAATGGATGGCCAAACGGAAGTGATCAACATGAGCGTGGAGACATACTTGCATTGTTTTGTATAATGGTTAGCATGGACGGAGTATTGGTACAATACATCTTTGCACATAGCCGCACGGACTACCTCTTTCGAGATTTTATATAGGAGGGATCCACCCCATCTGATACACTACGGGCAGAGCAATACACCAGTATCCAGTGTAAATCAGTACTTGGAGGAGAGGCACAAGATACTAGAAGAACTCAAAGAGCGTCTACTGGGAGCTCAACAACTTATGAAAAAGAAGGCATATGAACACAAACGGGAAGTGCAATTCGAGCCTAGGGATAGAGTTTATTTGAAACTAAGACCATATCGGCAAAGGACACTACCCAAGAGGAATAATGAGAAGGTTTTGGAACCCATGGAGGTCATGGGATTACGGCAAGGGACGATAGCAGCAAAAAAGGTCCTAGTTTGATAGAAGGATCTACCTAATTATGAAGTGATGTGGGAATCGTATGAGGTGATCAAGAAGCAATTTTCATCCTTCCACCTTGAGGACAAGATGCGTTTTTTGGAGGGGAATATTATTAAGGCGTCAGCATGAGAGGCAGAAGAGGGGGGCAGGTTGGGCAAACCCAGCCAACCGGTCCAGCAAGAACCGAACCAGTAGCTAGGCTGGGCGGATCATGGAGCAAGGGGCAGAAGTTTTAGAGGGGGGAATTCCCCCCCCCCCCCCCCCCCCCTTTTGTGGAGCCTAGCAAAGCTAAGGTTCATTATGTTAGGAGGAAGAATAAATAGGAAATTATTAAGGGAAAGATTTCCAAATTGAATTCAAATAGGATAGGGAATTAATTAAGTAATGATGGTTGTTTTGCGAGGGAATTAGAAGAGCCTATTTAGGGTTAAGTATGTGTTATTTTCAGCTTTATGTGATTGTTTGTTTGATGTAGTTCTTTTATTTGTGGGCTTCCTAGTGGCATCTAGATTGTTTGGGAGAGCCGATCTACCTCTCGAATTATAAATCACATGTCTCTTATTTTCGTATTAAAGTGATAATACAAAATCAGCCATTGTTTCTAACATTCCTGCAATTTTCTACTATTTCTTTTTTTGTTTTTACTTCCAAGGCATATTAATCAGCTAATGTTCCATTCATTCTCAGAGATGTTGGACGCTCTAGTCAGCCCTTGGTTGATTATAGGGAATGCTTGAAATCCATGTTTGGCATCTTTGAAGCCTACTATCCCTCACTTATGCAGTATGGCATGATGCAGATGAGAGCTTTCACAAATGTTTGCAACCGGGGAATCTTGATGGAAGCAATGGAGGACGCTAGCATTAGTGCATGTGGAGACCATAACTCTGTAAAATGGAGCCCCTGGAGCCATTATTGAACTGCTTGACCACAACACATCTATAGAGTTTGTTCAAGCTTTATTTAGCTTTGCTTATGTATATAGAAGATGCATTATTGATAAATAATAACATGTATCTATTGGGTCAAATGCATAATTAAAGAATTAGCCTCTTGCAGAGTTCCTTAGATTTGATCACTAGACCTTCAACATAATATAGATATGCCTGCATCTATTAGAATTAAAAATAATAATAATACATAAAAGTAACTATTTGCAATACACTGTCAAAATAGAACTGTGATTTAAAGTGACAAAAGAACAAATCTTTCAGCAAATTTGAATATTTAACAAAACAAAGATAAGGCATAAATCCCACCATTCCACGCCCATGATATCAGCTAATAACAATTAAAAGCAAATAAACCACAGATAGAGAAATAAGAAAATCAATATGCCATCCATAACCATAATAGCCACTACCAATTTAGATTTCCTAAACTAAACTTTATTCCACGCAGCAAACAGTATTGTAAGAAATTTTTGCGCTGTAACACGTGTAACATATATAGAGAAAGGCAGAATTAGACAAACCCATACCACAGCCAATGTTTTCGTCGGAGGAAGGATGATCTTGTCCAAAGTCCCAAACTTAACAAACATGTTTGCAAGTTCCCCTTCGGTAGAACCATATGGCAAATTCTTCACTAGTATAACATGATTGCTTCGTCTTGTATTGCTGTTCTTTTTAGAAGCAAACTCTTCCAAAGAAGCAACATTAACACCAGCATTGGATAAGGCCTTTTTGGTCTCAGTAACCACTTGAGTTTCTCCAAGTGCAATACGCACAGCAAGATCATCTGCTTCTCGTTCAAGAAAATCATTTCTACTAATACCATGCTTCCTCACTATATTTTCAACAACCTGTACCAGCAAAGGTCAAGATAAAAATTTCAGAACAGCGGAAGTCCTGTGGCAATCAACGTGATTGACAACTGGCATAAAATATACAAAAATTCAAATGAAAATATTCATTCTAAGGCAATTCACAAACAGGTCAACATTCTCGTTTAGGGTCCCAAATGCCTAATTAGTGCCTATTATGCAACCCTTGGAGCAATATGCTCCAACACATATCTGATCTTACTTCCAGTTTATATAATATTCTGGCAATCAATTCTAAACGCCTCAAACTTATAATATTCTGGCAACACATATCTGATCTTACTTCCAGTTTATAGTTCAAAATTATCTGTGAAGAATAGATTTAACACCTCAAACAACACAAATGAAAGCTGAGAATTCATAAAACCAACCCCAAATAGTTGAGAGAAGACTAATGATAGATGATATAATGGATGGTGAGAAAGAAATTTCATAGCTCTAAGATTTATCCGTCTGTTTCACCATTTCCTTTTTTCAATAACACAGTTGATGTGGTTTTGCTCCATTGTTCTTGCAGCCATGAATCCTGTAACCTTAAGGCTTCTAGAAAATGCTCCTTTTCCACAATCCTTGTAGTTGAGGTTTACTGCTTCCTTCCAATAGCAGGACAACATAAGAATCTTAATGTGCAATATAGATAGGTTCCTGTAGCTTACTTCTCAACGAAATATTTTCACGGTGACTCTGTTTTTCTATCTGTTCATCTTTTACTACTATTTCAGTGGATAACTGCCTATGTTTATCTAAGGGACCTATTGTGCAGATATCTAATAGTTGCTTTGAAGAGCATGATTGAACTTAAGGGGCGGCTAACCATAAGGTCATTTTGGCGCTTATAAATAGAATAATTTGAGGCATGTAAAGACTATTTTGTGTCTGTTTGATGAAAATAAACTTTTATACAATTTTAATTGTTTCGTCGGTTTACTGGTTTGTTCAAGTGTGGTCCATGAGTGACTACCAATTTTCAAGAAAGTAGTCTCCTTAGACTGAATTTTCTCTACTAAGTGAATTCCTTCCATATTTTGTTTTCTAAACAATTTGTTATTACATTTTGCAATCGTGATTGATTTTAGTCAAATTAATTACAATTTATTTGTTTTTGTGATGTGCATCTTAACCAACATGTTTTTGATAGCTTTAAATTTTTCATTGAATTTTTTTTATTAGGCAATTATTAAAGCATCTTTTAACATGAATTTATCTATTTTCAAATAAATGTCAAAAGAAGACGATATCTTAATTTAATTAGGGACTACTTGGAATTGTGAATTTCAAATCTAATTGATGGTTTCATACATTGCATCATTTATTTGCATTGTAAACCTTAGGCCCTAAAACATCTTGTATCAAATTGGCATAAGAGCTCATGGTTCATGGTTGCATTATTATGTCAACTAAAAGTAGGGTAAAATAATTGGGTCATTCAACAAAATAACAATAGATGTATTTAAATGAAATACTGTGACTATATGAAAGTCAAAATTACATTCCAACATTTGATGGAAAGTATAATCGTGAGAAAAATTCAGATTTTAGCAGTAATTTAGAAGATTTCTTTGAATGTATCAGATGTTTGATTCCCAAAAAGTTGACGATAAATCAAAACTAGTGGACATGCTTAATCATTTTGGCAAACCATTAATAAATTTACATGGGCTTATATCAACTATGAGATTAAAGAGCAAAATGAAATGAAGTCTGAGAATATATTTGAACCAGAACTTCTTATAAATTCATAGATATCAAAGTATACATCTAAGCAACATTAAATCTAAACATGAATGTGAAATTGAAAAAAAAAAATCATAACTATTTTAGTTGATAAAATTAATTGAAAAATATGATAGCATTACTCATAATAAATATGATAGCATTACTCATAATTAATCATCAGCTAATATTATTCAAATAATGAATGATTGGCATGTAATTGATTGTCTTTGATTCATAGATTAGTGACATAAATTCATCCTCAAGTACCAAAATTTCAGGTAATTTGTTAATGATGAAAGCCTTACAAGAAATATATGGAATGCAAAATTAAATCTATTTAGTCAAATTTAAAAGTGCAGAATTCAACAAACCTAATTTTTAAACCATTTGATTTTATTTTCTTTGAAGAGATTGTTTATCCATATAGGCATATCATTTTTGTATGGTTAGTCCCTTTTTTAATCATCTCATCTTCTACTAAAGAGTACAGAATCTAGCCTATATTAAAAAAGACAGAGGTGATCTAAAAAGACTTACGTAAAAAGAATTAGAAATGGCTTTTTTTATTAGATTTAAATGAGAATTTGACTCTTACTAGAACACAATGAAAAGAAAATATGTATATATCCTACCCCATGTACTGAAATAAAAGCTTGATGTTGTTGTTCTCAGCAACTTCTAAGAATTAATTATAAATATTTATTAGCATCACTTAGAACATATATTGATATTTTTAGCATTTTCATTATTTGGTTTAATTCTATTAATCATTATGATTTGAATTATTTATCTTATTTGAATGAAAATGTCCTCTGAAAACTGAGTATTAATTATGCCAATTATAAGTCAATTGTTGATGTGCATAAGGAGATATGTGAATTTAAACTAGATGATAAGATAATGATATCATTTGAATCCAAAATGGTCTTCCTACTGGATCTTTTAAAAAACTTAATGTGAGAAAGCCAAAGTCATCTAAAATCATGTTGCACATTGGAAAAATGATTATAAATTAGAAATTCCAGTAAATGGTTGGTATTAATCTAGTCTTCAATATGTCTAATTTGTCTTTATTTCATGAACTTACAATTAATGTGATCGATTCATCTCTCTTTTCATATCCTACCTAGAAATTTGCATCCAATACTATGGCAAACTAAAATTACTTGTTCCTGATGATAAAAGAAATGATAAAATTGAATCCACATCTGTGGGTGAATTCCAAAGATATCTTGTGAAATGGCATGACAAACCTTTATATGATGATTCTTAAATTGCTTCATAGGATACACAGCAGTTAACCACATATTTGCTTGATAAACATTAAAAGTTCAATTCATTGATGCTAAGTTTTACAATCCATGCAACATGATGTAGACAAACATCGTTATTCTTGTAGACTCATATGACATTTATGGCCTTATGGCTTCTACTAAAGCTTTTTCACCATCCAAGTATATGTGGCTTCCTAGTATTGGGTTGATTCTTGTACCTAACTTTTTCATGGGATATCCCTGTGTTCACTCCATTGTTGTATTTGCTCACTCTCTAAACCTCTTTATTTGGACAACTGCATGTTTATCAACAGAATATGTTGTATTGCAATCTACATGAAAAAACAATGCCTTTGAAGAGTGTGATTGCTTGCGGGGACAACCGAGCTCGGGTTATTTTTATGCTCTTAAATAGAATGATTCAAGACATGTAAAAGGAATTATTTTCTTAATAAAAATTCAGACTTATGTTCAATCATTTGTGCTTCGATTGGTGTTGACTCCTTCCAATGTGTTACGAGTGACTAACAATTTACTATGGAAGTCGTCACTTTCTACTAATAAAAATCTTTAACTTTTTTTTGACTTGGTAGATTTCTTCCTTGTTCTCATCCCTTATAAATTATTTGTAGGGTTTTGCAAATGTTGTTGCTTTTTATTCGAATACATTACAACTGAATTTCTTTGTGGTGTGAATTTAAAATCCAATCTATGTGTGTGTCTACATATGTCAAATTCATATGCCTAAATTAACATTATTGAAAATTAATTAATATCTGCATTGGATTATATTTAACGAAAATTTCTGAACTTAAGTTACATTACTGAATACATATTACAAAGCATCCTACAAACTGCTTATGATAGATGAAAGTCTATATTTGTCACAATTTCCTAGTAGTGGTGCTCGGTCTTGAATAAAAGATGGTTTGAAAGCTGGAAAAGATCTATGTGAAATTCATGGCTTCACTGGACTAAGGAAAGTAAAAGAGAATAATTTGTGATGGGGGAGACTTCAAAAGGCCAAAGGGAGAATGTTTTGGGAGGAGGCTAAGTGGGAGTGTTTCTATCTTTGGTGGGTCAGCACAAAGTTTGCCAATGATTTGAGCAAGCCCCAAACTTTTGGTAAGACTTTAGATGCTTTGGTTAGTTCATGTTGACATATTTATTAAGTATGTTACCCGCTCCTGAGTGACTATCATTAGTTGAGAAGAAAAGTACATTAAGACTGCCAACCAATACAATTCACTAATGTGGCTTTAGTGATGGTCACCAATTGCCGCTTACATTTACCAGCAATGGTGGTTGTAAGCAAGGCTATGACAGATGGAGGTCAAATCAAAAAAGCATAAAGCAACAAGAGATTGATATTGTAGAGCATTAACTATCAAAAATGGTTCCCAGTAAGAAATAAAAAAGATTTGAGCAAGGCTTTAGGATTCACTGTTGCTTAACGGTGGGACTTCAATGGCGTCATCTTTGAGTGTCAACAATAATTGTTGAATATGATAACTGTGAAAAAGATTGATGCACATGGTGGTTTCCCCTTAAAGATCTTTTACTTAGAAAATAGTTTGATGGTTGAAATCATGCCAAGTTCCCTTATTTTATCGAACTAATCATGATCAATCGGCAGTATAACAATTTTAAAAAGAGCCATAGCTTATCATGATGGAGAATATTTGGGTCACATGCCAATAATATTTTAGTTCTATTTTTTCTAAATAATTTACTTCATTTTGTGAATTATGCCAGTATAACAATTTTAAAAAGAGCCATAGCTTATCATGATGGAGAATATTTGGGTCACATACCAATAATATTTGAGTTCTAATTTTTTATAAATAATTTACTACATTTTGTGCATTATGCCACTATTATGAATTAATATTGTCAGTTGCATATACATGTAAATAAATAAGAGCTTAATATTTATAAAAGAGCATACAGTATCTTGTCGCATAAACAAACTATTCCATGCCCGTGTATCACCACTAGCTTCAGATGCCTTCTTTTGTTCTTCCCTTTGTTGCTTAAGATTTTTCTTATCATTGGCAGTAGTAGTTTCAGACCTATAATATCGAACCACACCATTAGCATATGTAAGTAACCAGTGGAAGAGTAAAAACTTATAAGCAAGATAAATATGTACATTGATGCAAAAAGGTGTAACAAATGCTCACCCTAGTTTTCCATTAGCTCTATTTTGTGGTTTTGCAGCCATAACATGTAATAATCTTCCCTGAAATATGGAGTTATCCAACGCTTCTAAAGCCCTAGTCAAATTCCATATCACCTAAACAAGTTAAATAGTTTCCAATATCTAAATAATATGCAAGAAAACCTTATGCTTAAAATATAAAAAGTGAAAAGCAATTCCTTTTCACAACAAAAAAACACCAAGTGTTTTTGATCATATGACTACAAGTATATTTATACTAATAGAACCAGATAATTTATTTAATCAAGTAACTAAACATATAGGTGGAAGATCAATAATGATTTAAGTTTCTTTTACCTCGTTGCAGACTCTGGAAGTGTGTAAAGCAAATAACCGATGCCTTTGGATCTTTTTGTATTCTTATCAGCTACAAGATGGACCTCAGAAACATCACCAAATTGGCTAAAGAGATCACGCAATTCATCCTCGCTGTCTTCAACAATAAGCAAAATTGATCAGAAACAGTAGGGTATAAGTTCCAATAGCAATAATTTAGAATAATCAAGATTGATGCATTGAGATAGAGGCAGGGTCAGTTTCCATACTTGGTTGTATATGGAAGATTACGTACAAATAGGCGCCCAGTCTCGAGGGCCAGGCTTCGGTCATCATTATATGTTGCCATTGGGTTTTCTCTATCCATATTATCAACATCACAATTTTCTTCATCAATGTTCTCTTCAGCAAGTTGGGCATTTATGGCATGTTCATGAGAATCTTCATACTTGACAATTTGATCCTTTACATCCATGTGTGAATTGTCATCATTGTGGCCATTTCCACTACCATGATCACCATCTTCATCAAAGCTACCATCTGCTTCTGAATCTGACCAATTTTTCTTGATACGACTCTTTAGATAATCCATATCTGATATCACATCATCTTTTGCAACTTGAGGTGATTTATCTGTTGGGGACTTCTTGGATCCTTTGATTAAGGACCTTGGTGAACTTTTATCAGCCAAATCAGATTCATCAAACAATTGAGCTTGCAACAGAGATGACTTCTTAATTTTACCCTGTTGTGTTTCTTTCTCAGGGGATTTTTGTTCAGAAAAATCCATAGAATGTATTGTATCATTAGTCCACAACTTTGCTTTAGAGCGTGGCTGCATTATTTGCATAAACTCTCTAAGCTTAGAATCACTATTTTCACTGCTTCCAAGATTTTTTACACAAGCACTCGAGGATCTTTGACCTTTAGAAGTAGTAAGGGAAGAATTTTTAGAGCTCTCCTTGCTATTTTCTTTCAAGAGATTATTTTTCATGACGGAATAACGACTCCACGGGCGAGGTGTGTTTGGATCACCAACTCTCCGAGCAATCTGCAATTTATAGAATAAATAAAACAATAGCACAGCATTGAGTATTGTGATAAAAGTTTAGGGTTTTTTTTAATTCAATGGCGTACATTAATTTCAAATTTGTCATTCCATCAACTAAGAAAATTTCCCATTCAACAAAGAGGTGTCCCAACTTTAAAAATATCAAAGCTAATGAAATCCATACATCCAATATTTAAAATAGAGAACAAACCTATGTTCATGCAATTAAAAAAAATCATGCCGGTATGTCAAATGAAGCCGAAATTTCACATATTAAACATGAAAAACTGTCAGAAAACAGTTAAGAATAGTGCATGAACATCCCATATAAGGACAGCAATAACAACATGAACTCCAATTAACAACTCCAGTAACAAATTTAAAAAGAAAGGGTGGAAAGGATTCGATCAAGAAATATATGAGTTCATAGAAAATTACACAAAACAACAAGTCCCAGGTTTTCTGAAACTTTATAGAACAATAGACTAATAGATTCCTATCCAAATGGTGCACCAGATCACACTACATATATTATACACGAAATGGGACATCATTGCAAAACCCCGCCAAAAAATACCATCACCTGGCTTGCCATAAGTCTGATCTAGGGGTGTCAATTTTGGGTCACGGGTCGGGTTCGAGTAGAACCCGAAACTGACCCGGCACTATTCAGGTCGACCCGAACCAGACCCGCTTCGGGTCCGGGTCAACCGACCCAACCTGAATGACACGGTGCCAACAAAAAAATGCTAGTTTTTGGGTTCAAATGGGTCAATCTCCGCTTTTCGGGTCAAAACGGGTCAATCTTGGGTTGACGGGTCAAAACGGCTGGTCAATTTTGGGTCAAAGGGTCAACCCGAACACAACCCGATTTTTTAAACAGGTTGAATTGTTGAACCCGAACCCGACCAGTTCAGGTTCGGGTCAACCCAAACCCAAAATTTTTTGGTCGGGTTCGTGTAGGTTTTTTGAGTCAGTCCAATATTGACACCCCTAGTCTGATCCATGACAGGACAAAATCCCTATGGGCTAATCACTTTACAATGATCTAAATAATTGCCATATCTGTCAAGCATCACCTAGAACAAAACACAAATGCAGCGAATACACATCAAAAAAGAAGGTAAGATGCAATCCGTTGTATATTTTTATACAACAATACCTCGCATGTGATTCTTGAGGTGTCCATGTAGGTGTTATCGAAAAACTTGAGGGCTTCATCGGCTTCCCTCTCGGTACGGAAACCTACGAAACCAAACTGCCTGCTTTTGCCATCTCTGGCAGGTTCAAGCAAAAAAATTTATATATGTATACTTTTTGAAATGTTAGAAAATTATTGGTGCTGGTTTAGACATAGAAGAGACAATAAGAAATACGAATCTCACGTAGTTCGCATGAGTTTGGCGTCGGTGACCTCGCCCTTCTGAGAGAAGAATTCCCTCAGTCGATCCTCTTTCACGTACATTGGGAGATTCTTCACACAAATTCGAGACCTTTAAAGCCAAATAAATCGGCGTTAGCGCTGGGGGAGAGAGAGAGAGAGAGAGAGAGAGAGAGAGAGAGAGAGAGAGAGAGAGAGAGAGAGAGACTTACATCTTTGCAGTTGCTTAACAGCAGGATTTAATCTTAGATCCTGTCAAAAGGCAAAAATAAAAAGCTTTAAACCCTACAGCCTCTTAAATCCAGGTTCTTCCATTTATCTTAAGGGGCTGTTTGGATGCAGGCTTTAGACCGAATTTGAAGCGGATTTGAGCTAAATCCAGCCAAACGACCAAAATGCAAAACCAAATCTCACGGTAAATCAAAGCCGCGGTTGACGGAAAATTCCCTCTTTTCGTGGTAAATCCCGGATTTGCGAAATCCTTTGGTTCGGCGGATTTTGGGATTTGGCCTAAGAAGCGCGCGAAAGGGAGAAAGTTATCTTCACAAGCGAGCTCCCGTTGTTGTTTCCGATGAAAAAATGTCGTAAGCCTCCGCTCCAACTGGAAGAGAACGTCGTCGAAGGAGCGAAGTCGAACAGCGACGAAAGAAGAACTCGTGCAAAACTTTACACTCCAGCAAAGTAACGAAGCCGAAAGAAATAGAGAAGAGAGGGAAAACCTAGTTATTGTTGCATAACGTAATTAATATAATTTAAAATATTAAAAATTAAACAAAACTAATTAAATTATTAATTATTGCTTAAATACTTAGTTATTTCAAAATAATTAATAGGATTAAATATGATTTTAAATGAAAATAATTATTATAAAATATTATAAATAATAATTAACCACTTTAAATCTTTTAACCACCTTAAATATTTTAATTATCCAAAAAATGCATGTCAAATCTTTTTAACCGCCTTAAATCTTGAATTGAATAACCAAACAATCACAGGATTTATCATAAATGTTGTCAAACAGTTTTTAGGATTTAATCTTCTCAAGATTTTGTAAATCCGGATTTAGAGGATTTACGAAATCCTATTTTAATGAAATCTTGGGTGCTACCAAACAACCCCATGACATGTTGTATGCTTGATATTTAAGTCTTTATAATATTACATGCAATATTTATATATTTTCATATAATTTATACATAATAAATAGGCATATAAACTTATATTATTCTTCAAATACAATCATTAGAAGTATACTAGAAGAAAAGTAAAGAGCGTGTTAATGTGCAATGCAAGGAGTCCTAATCGATTGATCATTTTGTGATCAACATAATATATATTAGAAGAATAAAGTAGAACTTAAGAAAATAAAGAATAATGCAATTGGCATTAATTGTAAATTAGAGAAAATTTAAAATCAATAAAATATCTAGAAAGAATGGAATAAAATAACAGGAAAAAGTATAAATAAAAATGCACTAAAAATCCAATAAAAGGAGTTGATTGGATTTATGATGGTAAAAAGCTAATAAGAGAAGAAGAGTTGGAGAATGAATTACCCTCAACTTTTTTTATTCGGGCTTGGGACCGGCATTGACGATTTTAAAAATAATACTTGATCTTTTGATTTGAACTAGAATGTGAAGTCAATATAATATAACATTCAATGAAATCTATATTTTTTTCCTTCAATATATATTGCTGCAACTTGTAACATAGTAAGAGTATTATAAAATTTTTTATCTACTCTTAGACTCACACACGCATCACATATACAAGATTGAAACCCAATACCTCTTGATTGATAGCCAAAACTCCTAACCAACAGATCAAAGTGAGTTACATTCATTGCTTCAGTTGAAGCAATATATTGTACTTTGCTAATGATAATTCTAAAATTGATTGTTTGTGAGGTCTTGATTTGATAAGACCTCGGCAAACCATAATCAAATAACATATTATAGACCTTCTCATGTTCAAATCTCCAATAAAATTCAAGCCAACATAATTAGAAACATCAAATACTACATTTGATCAGGATTTCATACCAATATCTATAGATATTTCAATGTATCTCTGCAACTATTTCAGAATTTCATATATGATATATCTGAGAGATGGAAAGAAGAAAGATAAATCATTGCAATCAAGATGCTCATGACAAGCTTTGTTTTTATCAGGAATTTCAAAGAACCCACTTACTTGTCCAATATCCCCAAAAGATTTCATCTAATCAGCATAAGATTATGTCAAGGGTTTTTGAAAGCAAACCAAATAAAACAAAACATAATTCAAATTTGTCCCAAGACCCATCTTGTATGCCAAAAACAAAATTTGAAGTGACGATTTAGGCTTCGTTTGGGACAGTTTTCTTTCTGCTTTACTTTTCAAGTCGTAACCATAACTTATATTTGTCAAATATTTTTTCATTGCTTTCTAAAAGTTTTTGTACCAGGAAGCTACTTTTGACAACAATTTTAAAAAGTTACTTTATCTATAATAGTTTTACACATCAATAAAAAAGTTGTCCCAAATGAAGTTTTTGGCTTTATTTGGGACAACTTTTTCAATGCTTTCTAAAACAACTTTCTTATACAAAAATTTTTAATTCAAGAAAATTTGTAACTAAAAAAAATGTTTTAGAAAGCATTAAGAAAGATATCATAAACAAAGCTTTAATTTTTTTTTTACTATCTCAAGATTTGCGAGGATTTGCCAAAAGCTGGTGTTAGATCCCAAGCTTTGCAAGCTGGATTTCGATGCTCAACAACATTCTTTTCCCCTTGGCACTTAACTTGCTTATGCCCATTAGTTCTTGGCCTGAAAAGCATCTAAGTTGATTTCTAATCACATCCAAATAAAGCAATTAAATCTTGTAAATTTCATTGATTTCCTCAACAGTTTTGCCTATCAATGCGTAACCAAATGCACAACTAGAATAGGTCTTCCCAATGGAGCTCTTGAATACGTTCAAATCAAGTTTGAACCTGGTTCAAAATTCGAACTTGCCTTGTTCATTTTTGTTTCTCATAGGCTTGACGGGAGAAGACATCAAGATGAACATCAACGTAAAGTTCACGATGGGAGCTCACAAGGGACGGGCATTGAAGGGATTGACAACATGTGAACGAGAAGCAGAGTTTGTCTTCACATTCATCTCTAACTGGGTGAGGCATCAACACAAGCATAACGGTACAAAAGAGAGGAGGTGTTTGTATTCAAGTTATTTGAACCGATTTCATTCTTATTGGAATGCAATGAGCAGTTTGAGAATTTAAGAGGGAGGAAATTTTGTCTGAAATGAATTTTTCTGCATACTTATCAAAGAAAGTAAATAACACGGATATTCCTCCAATTAAGTCTACTTTGAGATGGATAAAGTCTAAGTTTTCGTCCGAATTTTATTTTTAGTATTTTTTATGATAATTGTAAAAATTTAATGGAGTTCTTAAAATTTCTTGCAATAACTTACTTGCTTATACAATTCAAGTTTTCAAATTCATAAAATAACTTCTTCATGATTAAGTTATCTAATTCTTACAAGAACTTCTAACATGTATTATGAGTTATCTAATTTTTACAAGAACTCGCATTATAAATTATGTAAAATAAATCGAAACGAAAAACTTTAATTTACATAAGTCTTAAATCCTCAAGATCTTAAACAAAATGATTTTCACAATCCTTCAATTAAAAGAAAAAACATACATTGATTCATTTTGAATTCGCCGAATTACAAATTACGATTTCTCTCCCTTCTCCCTTCACTTTCTTCTTTCATGATTTAGTTCTCTATGGAGCAAAGCAACTCATATAATGAGAGAGAGAGAGGGCCGGTAGTTATTTCCTACGGATTTGTTACAATAATCGCATAGGAGTTATTTCCTACGGATTGGTTACAATAACCGCATAGGAGTTATTTGATCAAACGGTCCATAAACGAATGATCAAATCATCTTTTCTTGACCAATAGGATTAAACATAAATAATTAAATTTCAATAATTATAATATATGGCCCACTTAATGAGTTATATAATTAAATATACATACTTAAATAGTTATTGCGACGTCTCGCATAATTAAATGTATATAATTATTCTAACATCTCCCACTTTGCCTATATGAAATTATTCAATTAATAATTTAATTATCATAAACATAAAGCGCAATAAATAAATCCTTTTCTTTAAATTGGTCAAATCATAATTTCATTATTAAGTACAAAATTAATACGGATCATGGCGGTCACACACCATATTATCGATGCATTTCCTTCCATGTATCACGATACTAATTTTATACATAATATGAAGCATAATAAGATATACACATAATGGTTCAACAATGATGTCTTCACAAAAGACAAATCCCATCAATATTCACATAAACATTCATGTATACACAACATAATAAATGTGATACACTAATTGTTAGAAACAAAATAAAAGAACTCAAAGTATCAAAAGACAAAGAGCAAATAAACATAAGCTTAATAAGGATTATCGGTAATGCCCATCCTAACAACATGTTCATGAAATGTCTTCGGTGGCAACCCTTTAGTTAATGGATTCGCAATCATAAGATTGGTGCTAATGTGCTCAAATGATACTCTTTGTTTCTGAACTTTTTCTTTAATGGCAAAGTATTTTAATTCCATATGTTTAGCACCCTTTGAATACTTGTCATTCTTTGAAAAGATGACTGTTACGGTATCATCACAATAAATTTTCAGCGGCTTGGTAATACTGTCAACAACTTTAAGTCCTGAAATAAAATTTCGTAGTCATAATCCTTGAATTATGGCCTCAAAACATGCCCAAACTCAGCTTCCATTGTGGATGCATCAATGACGGTCTGCTTCGCACTCTTCCAATATATTGCTCCTCCACTTAAGAGAAACACATATCCAAATGTGAATTTTCTAGAATCCAAACATCCAGCAAAATCTGAATTTGAATATCCAATCACCTCAAGGTGATCAGATATTCTAAAAGTGAGCATGTATTCCTTTGTTCTTTGTAGATATAGTAAAATCTTCTTTGTAGCTTTCCAATGATCAAGTCCTGGATTACTTTGATATCCACCCAACATTCCAACAGCAAAACTTATATCTGGTCTAGTACAAGTCTGAGCATACATTAAACTTCCAATAATATATACATAAGAAATTTATTCCATTTGTTTATGTTCTAATTTATTCTTTGGGCATTGCATAATACTCAATTTATCTCCTTTCTGAATTAGAACAATGCTTGCTGAATAATTTTCCATCTTAAATCTCTCAAGAACTTTATTAATATATGCTTTATGAGACAAGCCTAACATTCCTTGTGATCTATCACGGAATATTTCAATTCCTATCACATAGGATGCCTCACCCATATCTTTCATTTCAAAGTTATTTTAGAAAAATTTCTTGGTTTCATAAACCAAGATTATTTGTAGCAAGCAAAATATCATCAACATACAAAATCAAAATTATAAACTTGCTCCCACTGACCTTTAGATATATACACCGATCAACGGTGATTTCTTTAATTCCAAATGAAGTGATGGTATTATTAAACTTAAGATACCATTGTCGTGAAGCTTGTTTAAGTCCGTATATTGATTTCTTAAGTTTACACACCATATGTTCCTTTCCTTCAACTGAAAACCCCTTAGGCTGATTCATATAAACTTCT